TTCTGCTTGAACTCTCTCGCACTGAGTATTACATGTTAATGGCGATATGAGTTATAAAAAACCAACTCCAGATAGATAAAGTAGGACAGACCACGTTAGAGGTGAAGTGCGCGATCGATTAGCTTCCTGGTTGCAAACACAACATACTGGAGGGTATAACTACAGTTGCTTCTCTACAGTCAATGAATAAACACGCTGGTGGGGTCATTCTCAAAAAAGGCCAAATTCGTGCTATGAAAATATGAAAATACAAAGCATCATACTGAATTATCTCATAATTGTTATGAATGGTCAACACCTTAAAGAATGCGGTCATGATAATTTGCACACAGGAAAGTAATAAAATATTTTTAAAATAAACTTTTTAAAGTATCCACTGAAAAAAACCGTCAGTGGTGTAACAAGCATAAAAGTATTCTTTTTTCAAACTTTGATGTCAGATAAGGAATTTTTCACATTTGTCATTATTTACAAACTTTTTCTATTTTCAAGTATAAATTAAATCGTTTCATTATTCTCACATATTTAATTGTAAATTTGGCAAAAAGGGCTTGGTGTGAGAAGAATGTAATGGTAACATATGATATTTTTTCTGAAATAACTTGTATACTTAAGACTGATCATGTTTTATGTATACAGTGCTATTAAAGCTGTTTTAAGTTATCATAAAATATCAGTCTAACTGTTAAATTATTCTTTTGAAATAATTAAATGTTAGCAAATATGCATGTTACACCACTGATATATTTTGATATCCTGCCTGTTACACCACTGAACTTTCTGCAACTTACTGGAACAGTAAACCAAATCAACAGCCATATGATGCTTTGGATTACTTAATAATCATCATTTGAGAACAGCTTTCCAATATGTGGCGTTGGAAAACAAATGATATCAACAGTTAAGATTAAAATGTACAAATTCAAAGAGTACTGTGACACCAATGACATTTTGTGTTACACCACTGATTTTTCTTTACCTCACTCTAAATATAAATCCAAATTACTTGCCTTTAATTGATAATTAACAGATTTAAACAGCTCAACAGCAAATTCTGAACACTCAGATTTTAAAAGGTTTTTAAAAAAATAATATACAAAATCAATAAACTGAACAAATAGTAGTAATATTGTTACACCAATGACATTTTTTGTTACACCACTGATTTTTATTGAATTAACTTCAACGATAAATTCAAATTAATTGCCTTTAATTGATCATTAATATAATTGAACAGCTCAATAGCAACTTTTGAACACTCAGATTTTAAAAGGTTTTTCAAAAATAATATTAAAAACAATAAAATGAACATATTGTAGTAATACTGTTACACCAATGACATTTTTTTGTTACACCACTGATTTTTCTGAACTTTATATACTAATATACCAGAACAAATTACCTTCACAGACTTTACATGAGTTAATGGTAATAAAATATACTGGATAAATACAATGCAAAGCAGTTGAGTTTTGTGAACAAGTGACTTAAATGAACATTTTGTCAGTGGTGTAACAGAAATTGTCAGTGGCGTAACATTTTCCCATGTTATACCACTGACAGTTACACCACTGACCTATTCCCACTTTTATGAACTTTATAACAATTAATGCTTCCTAATCACAGACCACCTGGCATAAATGTTGATGTTTTAGCAACTTTGATGTACTTTAGATAAACATTGTTATGAAAAGAACACATGAATAAGAAATCAGCGTTACACCACTGACGCGATAAAAGTTATGATATGAAGTAGACTCACCAACTGCATCAAACTTCAACATCAAAATAAAATTTGGCCTCCACAAAACTTCTGCCACGAGAGAAGAAAGTCATCAGCAAAGGGACCATTTAGTGTTTCATATTTTTTACTCAAACGAGATAATTATTAATGTCACATGTTTATATTCGTTACACCACTGACTGTGACATTTTGGACAGTCATTGTTTTCATTGTAAATATGTGATTTTCATTTTGTTTTCAATATTTCATGCAGGAATGTGTTTTTAATATTGGTGTTTCATTATAAATCTTTAAAAAATATGTATAAATACCCTGGAATTTAAACTTTATGGTGCTGCAAAGTAATGTCGCTGTCCACTGACAGTGGTTTTCTTTCAAAATGATGATAAAACCCAATTTTGTCCCAAAATAACAAACAGGTACACTATTTTACATCATTATGAGGAACAAAATACATTTTTCTTTCATAATATGATTTTTGAAAAAATTTGAAACAATATTTTTCAGAGCAATGTGTTACTGACCAAAAGTTGGGCAAATTTTGAGAATGACCCTGCCTCTAAAATAACAAAGTGGCCACACAAATACATCGTTCCATTATGGTTTATTTTTTCAAATATATTTTCATTATATTAAAGGTAACGAGGATATCAGTTACAGTAGAAACATCTCTAACAGTGTCTATGAGTTGAGTAATCATTAAGTGTATCTTGATATCAAATCACATCAAAGTATTTACGACCTGGGGAAAGTTGAATTGAAAGTAAATGCTTAATAACATGGAGTATAGCTTTGCCTTTGATCCGGTCAGAACAACTTATCGGATTAACTCACGTGTCTGGACTGCAGAAGGAGAACCAGGAGTTGCATTTGAGTTGTTCAGGCACATCTCCGCGCACACGTCATCACAGACACTATCTGTGTTCTTCATTTCGCACATGGAACAATCAGTCCTGCAGTATCTCTCACAAGTGGTACCAAAGTAACCAGGCTGGCATGCAAAGCACCTCCCATCTTCATTACATGTCCTCTCAGAACACGTGGAACTACACTCGTTGGCACAGTCCACCCCAGTAACCGTGAGAACATCGGGAACAATGTCCAGACTTCTGTAGACAAGCCTGACACTTGGGTGGACACTTCTTCTGGCAACCGGAGGACATCCACCCGTCGACGCACCCCTCAGTACAAACTGCAGACTTTACTTCATGGTCATAAACACATTCCCTGCCCCTACAGCGGCTGTCACAGGGTCGATCACAGTGATGCCCATGAAAGCCGTGGTTACATCCTTCGGTACACCTTCCTTTTCCAGATGGCTCACATGCATTATGACGACAACCGCTTGGACATCTTGCGCCACAGTCGTCACCAGTCCATCCATGACGACAGCCCTTGTTACAGGTCCCATCCCAGGAGTAGCACGAGTTGTCCACATCCTTCACTGCAGGGTCGGTCACATCTATCTCCCCACCATCCATCCTCACAATGTTCTAAACAATGTGCTGTTGTTCGATTGCAGTGAGTTTGTCCGACGTTCCTTCGAGCAGTGAAGGGGCATTTTCTTCTACAGTTGGATGAGTAGTAGCCGCCCTGGCACTGAAAGGCATTTTCCTGAGTCCCTATGACAACCACCACTGTCACAAAATCCAATACATCTTTTGTCACAGTGGACGCCATGCCACCCTCGTACACACTCAGGACACGTTGTGCTTCCCGAGGCCCACAGACAGTTGGAATCAGCGGGCGATTGGTACATGAAAAGTACTGGAACATAGAGCATGTCATCGACACCATTTAAGTGAGCCGATATATTCTAATAACGGTGAAGAGTGCGATGCATATTGAAAGGAATGAGTCATCAACAACGTATTTGGCATCGATCATTCCACTTATCAAGTATTGTATGCACAAAGAACTTAGTTAAGCACCCTGACATATCTCACGATTGAAGAGCCCCGATCCTAACCCAGACAGAGGATCAGGAGGCTGACAGGGGTGTGATGGGGAGAGTGCTGGTTGTCATACAGTCACATGGGGGTAACACTCGGTATTGACCTTGAATCGTGTAAGAAAGGCAAAATGACATTCATCAACACAATCAACATTAAACATTCTAGGGCCATACAGACATTGGTTTTGTATGAAAATCAGTGTTTGTTTATTTTTTAAAAAATGAGCAATTATCATCATAAAATCAACATGAAATCAATCATTTTGTCGGTTCTTTTATGACTTAAAGGATCATACGGATCGGAAAAACTCATGTTTTTCCATTGTAGTCACCACGAGACGCTCTATGTACGTGTTGAAATCCTATCATTGCAAAAACACAGGGGTGCTTGAATTAAGTTCTTTGTGTATATTATTCCAGGTGTGTATGCATATGTTCGGGATTTCACTTTGTATTCCTGAATATGGTCTAAAAACTTCCATCAGAGTTCTTAAAAAGAGAAAGACGTATGCGAAGACCGGTCCATACTGTTAGGTAGTCGTATTTGTGGGTGGATAGTTTTATCATAATGAAATCAGCAGACATTTATAGACATCTATTCGACCGTAGTGTACAATCCTTGATTGCTCCTTTTCAGTGGCAACAAAGCCATCAATGCAGTTTGATGAACATACAGACTTTTCTGGATATCATCTTTTTTTATTGCTTCAGGGCTTGTTCTGGCGTTTCCGCGTTTCAGGGCTTGTTCTGGCCCCATCATCAGGTAGAACAGTTTCATCATCAGCGTTCTACCTCTTGTCTCTTGTTTGCTGCACTATTTGTGTTTTGATAGGGAGCTCTACATCGACATGCTGTTCTTGATAAGTGTTCAAAGTGAACATAGCACAATGATAACATTGTATCGGTGTTGACAGAGAGCTCCACATCTGTGTTGACAAACAGCTCTACATCTGTATTGACAGAGAGGCCTACATCTGTGAGTGACAGAGAGCTTTATATCTGTATTGACAGAGAGCAATCTGACATCTGTGTTGACAGAGAGCTCTACATCTGTGTTGACAGAGAGCTCTACATCTGTGTTGACAGAGAGCTCTACATCTGTATTGACAGAGAGCTCTACATCTGTATTGACAGAGAGCTCTACATCTGTATTGACAGAGAGCTCTACATCCGTGTTGGATTTTTTTACCATACTACTAGAAGTTACCTTTCGGCAGCCTGAATCGTAATTCAAAGGTTACGATTTCTTAATAGTGTGTTGACTGAGCGTAATTTTGAAGATAAATGGAAAGCGATACTCACCTAACAGGGAACAGAATGGTTGTCATCGCTCATATCTGAAGACTGGTTCCCTATTGAACACAATTTACACCTGCGTTATTGACACGGAATGAAGCATATACTGGTAAGGAGGGATTTGGGTGGGTGTGGCTTGTAGACAGGGGTTGGTGGGTTGCCAGGGGTGTATTCATGTCGCAACAGATACAGGTTATACTGAATGAAGGCTTCGCGCTCTATCCGACAAGCAGCGTAAGAGAGATAAAAGAAATAAGTGAAAAGAGTGATAATTATAGGAAATATATACAGCGTACATATCCACGCAACTAAGAGTACATGCTCAAGGCCCTGGTATTTTTCCCCAAGACGATTGGACGTCAATCTCAACGGCACATCGCTTTATCAATCTCAACTCCCTGGGGAGTATACAACTCTTGCAGCAACTACGAGCACCAAGTTAATACGGCTTTCCCGTCCTTACGAGGTACCCATTCACAGCTGGATGAAATGGGACACATAGTCACAGTACTTTGTCCAAGTTTACTGCACGTTGCTGTACCCGCAACTAGGTGTTTGCACGTATTCATGTGGCCACCATCTGGTCATATACCAACGGATTCGTGGGTTCTTTTAAAGGCACATGGTTGTGTATTGTATACTAGGGGTTGTGACAACACTGAAAGAGTCTACACAGTTGACTCCAACGTGTTTACACCCGGTCACAGGTGGGCTCGATCCCATCACCTTACACAGTTCGCCCACCATGCCCCACCTTACCGGCAATCCCTCCCCCCAGCCCAACCGCATGCATGCCTTATATGGTCACTGTTTTTTACACCCGCAGCGTGTTCAATAAGTAGTCCCGTGACGATTTTTGCAGCAAACACCAGTGATAATCATATCCCAGTTGCGTAGGTCGATGCTCATGGTGTCAGTAACTGGGTTGACTAGTGCAGACTAATTTATTTACAAGCTGTCATCATACAGCTTGATAATTGCTGAGTGCGGCGTTAAACAACATCGAAACGAAACAAACAAAGCAAGTCAACTTAAGAATATGTAAAACAAACCAATTCTGGTTCGTTAATCAGTTTATCTTTATGTTACACATACTTAAAACGAAAAACAATAGTCTACTACAAGAGATTCAACTATTCAAAATAACTTATACCTGTGGGCATAAGATGCTGTCGCTTCTTCCAAGACGGGTCTAGAGGAGGGGTAGAAGGTGTCCTGAAAGTTGATTAAATGACAATTGCAACTCTCGTGAAAGCGAGTGAAAATGAAATGGTAATTATTGTTGCCTTCCTTTTCGTCAGTTGTTGGGATAAGACAAGGATTGGTAAGCTGGGAATCCTTATATTAATAATATTAATAATGAATTTATATAGCGCCTATTTCCAAAATGTATGTGTTCAGTGGCGCTGAAGACGTCTGAAAGTCTGAAGGACCATGAGAGGCATAGTGTGAACAGATGGGTTTTAGGGCTTTTTGAAAGAGTCTGTACGGTTGATTTTTCTGATAGTGATAGATGCGCTGTAGCTGAAAAGGGTAATGTCCTCGTAACTCTCCATTCCTTAAAAATAAGGAGGGGCCGTGGCCCATTATTTTTAAGGAATGGAAAGTTACGAGGATATTACCCTACTTAAATTTGCAAACGAAGTATTGGGAATATTTCTGTTATCAAAATTAAATGTCAAAATGACAAAATGAAGGTTTTATTTTGAAACTGGTACACATCGCTCCATTCCTGAAAAGTAATGGAGCGAACAGACAATGGAATGACTCACAAATGTAATTTAACCTCTACGTCATTATGCAGCTCTGTGTCAAGAGGAGAAGCTTGAAATTGATTCTGAAGGATATAGGGAGCCTAGCCTGTGATGTTGTTCGAGACAGGGATTGGAACACGGGCAGCAACTCGAGCAGCAGAGTTTTGAATTCTTTGAAGTTTATAAAGTAGATGTCCAGTAATGTTAAAGTAGAGATAGTTGTAGCAGTCCAGTTTGGAGATTACACGACTTGAGTAGCTGAGCGGTATTATGGTCCAAGAGGTGACGGAGTTTGCTAATGTTGAAGATATGGAAGTAGCAGGATTTGGAATGGGCGCTGATGTATTATCGAGGTGACATAGGTTCCTCGAAGATGAAACCTAAATGTCTAGCTGACACTGCTGATGTGATACCGTCGTCACCGACTGTAAGACAATGTAAGAACAATGTGTCTGCGTGGTTATCTATAGGACACTAGGACATATTACTTCAGTTGGTTGGCACTATATAGACCTTATAAGACTAAAATATGACACTTGTTGTTCCCCTGGCTGTCCCTCGCCATTAAGGGAGATACATAAAGGTTGCAGCAGAGCCAGTACGTGTGTGAGTAAAGAGTCCATATCAAACTGGGACGTGTTAGAAGGCTGACCCGAAAAAAACGGAAGATGAACTCATTTTATGGAAGTCAACTTTTATATTGCAATAGATGCGCCTGTTCAGTGTAGATGTTAACACCGTTATCAAATCACTTGCTTGATTAAGGTATTAGCTTCTACACCGAAACGTCGCATCTATTGATCTATCTAAGTTTACGTCCATAATTCATCTTCATCATACCGGCTTCTAAATGCTACGTAAAGTACCGATAAAACCTGCAAACGCACATACAAAGGCACATACAAATCGTACATACAAACGTACATACAAACGTACATACAAACGTACATACAAACATACATACAAACGTACATACAAACGTACATACAAACATACATACAAACGTACATACAAACATACATACAAACGTACATACAAAGGCACATACAAAGGCACATACAAAGGCACATACAAACGTACATACAAACGTACATACAAACGTACATACAAACATACATACAAACGTACATACAAACGTACATACAAAGGCACATACACAACCGTACATACAAACATACATACAAACCGTACATACAAACATACAAAACATACATACAAACATACATACAAACTATACATGCAAACGTACATACAAAAACGTACATACAAACATACACATACAAACCTACATACAAACGCATACAAACGATACATACAAAGGTACATACAAACCGTACATGCAAACATATACATACAAACATACGTACATACAAAACATACATCATACAAACATACACACGCACATGCAAACATGCATACAAACGTACATACATACAAACATGCATACAAACGTGCACGCAGCCTGGCTTATGTACACATACAGAGCATTGCGTACAAACATGCATGCCTGGAAACATGCACATCCCATGCATACAAACAGCCACAAACGCGCATACAAGGCCCTTTCCTTCCTTTCCCTTCCTTCCCTGTCCCTTCCTCCTTATTCCTTCCTTCCTTCCTTCCTTCCCCCCTTTCCCTTCCTTTCCTTTCCATTCCTCCACCTTTCCTCTTTCCTTCCTTCCCTTCCACTATTCTTCTTCCTTCCTTCCGTTATTCTTTCCACTATATCTTCCATCCTTTCCGTTATCCACCCTTCCTTATATTTCCTGTTCCTTATACCACTATTCCTTTTCCTTCCTTCCTTTCCTTTCCTTCCTTCCTTCCGTTCCTTCCATTCCGTTATATCCTTCCATTCGTTGTCCTCGTCCTTTCCTTTCCATTCCATATCCTTCCTTCTTTTCCTTTTTCCATTTCTGTGTCCTTCTTTCCTTATTATATTCCTTCCATACCTTCATTATTTCTGGTAATTGCCAAGCTGAGCGGTCGTTGTATTGTCCATGCATTCAATGCAGTTAGGGGTTTTATCCCACGGGGAGTTAGGATAGCCCAGAGAATATATCGTTCGCTAATTCTGTCGAGTAATTCGATCCAGAAGTGGTACGATATTTAAAGCCAGTTATTGTATTATCAGGGGTATTATCTGGGGTGTTAACCTCACTCACTCACTCACTCACTCACTAAATTCAACTTCATGCAGTCAAGCTTAAAGCATGGTATGACAAACAGTATTGACTTGGTTGTTGGTCAATATCGGGGAGACACCAGGGTTTCTCGAGGAACGTAAGCCTTTCCCGGAAAATGTCACAAGGTAAACAGTGGCGTTCTGTTCGTTGTTTTACCTAGCAATGCTTAAACTGGAGACGGTCGTGTGGGCGAGGCGTACAACCCACTACTTGGACAGCTATAGCTATTGTTAGACAAACGGCCACTGCCAACTCGCCCCTGGTGTTAACAGTAATATGTACTTAAACCAATTCATTTACACTCATTTGAATGTGACACAACTGTATACTGGGTATGTATATTAATAATATTAAGAGTGAGTGAGTCAAGTGAGTTCAGTTATACGCCGCACTCGTCAATATTCCAGCTATATGGCGGCGATCTGTAAATAATCGAGTCTAGACCAGACAATCCACTGATCAGCAGCATGAGCATCGATCTGCGCAATTGGGAACCGATGACAACCGACGACGATGTGTCAACCAAGCCAGCGGGCCTGACTCCCCGATCCCGTTAGTCGCCTCTTACGACAAGCATGGGTTACTGAAGGTTCATTCTAACCCGGACCTTCTCGGGTTGAAGTATGACATACGAAAACACTGCAAATGAGCTAATATTTGAAATGGGTGGAACTGGCGGTCGTATAACTGATTTCAAATTTAATTTATATGCATCGAAAATTAGCAAACATATTAAAAGCGATCTAAATGCATGTTTTCGTTTTAAACATATTTTATTCACACAGAAAAGGATTAGGAACAAGTTCCTTAGAATACCCTTTCCTTGGTATGTACATAGGAAATTTACATTCCCGCAACTAAAGATCACGAAAGTCTTGGTCAAGGAAGTGAGTGAGTGAGTGAGTGAGTGAGTTTAGTTTTACGCCGCACTCAGGAATATTCCAGCTATATGGCGGCGGTATGTTAATAATTGAGTCTGGACCAGACAATCCAGTGATCAGCAGCATGAGCAGCGCTCTGCGCAAATGGGAACAGATGACATGTGTCAACCAAGTCAGCGAACCTGACCTACCGATCCCGTTAGTCGCCTCTTACGACAAGCATGGGTTACTGAAGGTTCATTCTAACCCGGACCTTCACGGGTGCAACTAAAGATGACAGATAGTGGACAAGAAAGTAGTATAAGTAAAAAGAAGATAGAACTTATACAGAATAATATCAATATGCCATACAAATCGTCTTGTCTCACTAATGAACGATTGCACTAACTTCAATACTTTTGTATTTTCACACGATGATAGGTCTGCACTTCCTTCTAACAAAAGTTAAAGGTCGACTGAAATACCTGCTGATGAACAAATGCCTGGGTTAGAATACATCACTACCACCCGGTGTCTGCGATACTGCACCTCTTATCTTAGATGGGGATAAACTGGTCAGGCTCTGTGTTTGTTTGTTTGTTGTCATTGCACCTAGCTATAAGACATGATGATCCGGTGATTGACACGATGAGCATGATAAGCTGTATCAACCGCGTCAGCGAGTCTGACCATCCAATCCCGTTAGTCGCCTCTTACGACAAGCTTTGGTTGCTGAAAATCAATTCTAACCCTGATCATTTGGAGTCTCCATGGTCATCACACCCCGATAACGTTGATCGAACTTTCAGTCTCTTGTACCTGGTCAATTGCACTCTTCAAAACAGGAAACACATAGGTCAAAAATATGGAAATGTATTAAACGTATTTAAGTGTACATAAGTCGATTAAGCTTGAACACAGATGAATGTGATTCGATACACGCATGGACATATATTGTTGTCATTGTCAGCATTAACTCAGTTCACTCACTGTACATGTGTGGACACAAGGGGTCACAGGTCAGTACCTGGTGACACCACCCCTTGCAGCCGGAACTGCTCGACACCGCCTTGGAACGGATTGCACAAGTCGTCAGAGTTTTGCTTGATGAGTGAGTGAGTGAGTGAGTGAGTAGGTGTGTGGGTGAGTGAGTGAGTGAGTGGCACACCAGAAGTCGAACCCGGGTCTTCGGCGTGAGGACCGAACGCTTTACCTACATGGCTACCCTACTGTCCACTGTATGCCTAATCAGGAGTATCAATGACGCCGATCCCCTATATATCTTGTCAACTTTGCCCCAAGTATACTTAACTGACGCTATCGCAGCTCTCCCGAAGAAAAGCAATGATATCACCAGGATATACGTTATAGAGGAGATGTAACTGATTTCGGGGAATACAGACGATTAAAGGCTGGAAATAACC